GGGGGGGGGGGGGGGGGGGAGTTTGAACTCCACCAGAACTGTGCAATAGCACTAGCTAAAGCATCGCAGATCTCCAACGGAAGGAGAAAGCAGGACATAACATAGGTTGGGAGAGCAAGAAGGATCGACTTAATCATAACTTCCTTGCCTCCTTTTGATAACCATATGCCTGTCCACACATTAACTCTATTCCTCAGGTTATCCTTTTAGAAGGCAAAAAGCTTGCATTTGGATCCACTGATATCCTCGGGGATTCCTAAATACGTCTCCATCCCTCCTTCAATCTGAATTCCAAGTGTGTCCTTAATCTCTTGCCTAGCATCATGTCCGATTCTCTTACCGAAGAGTAGAGAAGATTTGTCAAAATTAATACATTGTCCTGAAGCTTGTCCATATTTTCTGACCACTCTCATTACTTCTTCACATTTACGGGGCTCCTCCTTACAAAAGAAAAAGCTATCATCAGAAAAAAAGAAGGTGAGATACTGAAGGACACACACGTGTGATGCGCATCCCCGTTATCTTTCCTTGACTCTCTGCGTGATTTAGAAGGCTAACGAGCGCTTCCGTGCATAGAATAAAAATGAAAGGGGACAGAGGATCCCCATGTCTTAAGCCTCTCACTGGGACAATATTTCCTCTTGGCTGGCCATTCATAAGAATCTTGTACTTTACTGATGTTACACATCGCATTATCTCTGCTTCGTGAGGGCATGAATTTTTTTTTGTATTTCTATCTCCTTCCCTCAACCAGAATACTCTGCACTTTTGTTTCCAGAACATCTCTTCCGCCTTAAGAGCGTCAGACAATTCCTTTAAAGCTGCCGCAATCTCTTCTGTAGTGGCATCATCATTTGGAGATAAACGATTCACCTTCTCCTTTAACTCCTCCACACTCTTCTCTGAATTTAGGTTATGTTGCTTTTTCCAGTCACATAGAATAAGATCGGACGATGATCCTATCCCTAGAGTCTCATATACTTCACTTTGGAATGAGGGAACTTTTCGAGCCAGTCCTCATTCCCAAGAGCTCTGTCAAAGCGGCATCTTACTGTATTCCTCCCTGCTCTATTTCCTACCCAGGAATGCATGTACCCTGTAAAAGGAAACTCCAGCATACCGCAATCACTCAGCATTGTCTTAAAGGGCAAGAATGAGCTGTCAGAACGTAGTCTGCCTCCCTCCTTCTCCTCATGACAGGTAATTTCATTAAAGTCACCTATCATAAACTAAAGTCCATTTCTTGTTGTTGTAGAGAAGCGAGTAAGATGTTCCCAGACTAAATCTCTTCGTTCTAGAACACGATCCTAATAAACAAACGTCATATAGACTTTTATTCCATCAATGATTGCCTCAATGTCAATCATTCTGTTATTTGAAAATAAAACATTAACTTGAAAATCCTCCATAAAAAATAAAGCTAAAACTCCGCTGAGTCCAAGTGGCTCAACAATAAATAAATGATCAAATCCTAAATCAGCCTGAATGTTTTGCAACAGCAGCCTCTTGTTCTTCGTCTCAGAAAGAAACACTAGTCATGGGCGATGCTTCTGACATCTCCGTAAGGCGTAGAACTTTAAGGTCGTTTCCAATCCCTCGACAGTTCCAATTGATTGTCTTCATGGATGATGCTTTGATGGGTTTTCGGGTCCCATTAAACCATCCCTCTTAATTGCACCATGTCGTCCACTCTTCCCCCCATGTCCTTGACCAGTTTTCTTTTCAGCTTTCTTCTCACCATCTTTTGGACCAGGAGACATTGCAACTCGAGCCCTTGGTGATCCACGACGAAGAAACTCAGATTTCTTTGTTTGTATGCCCAACGGAACATTCAAACGAGTCATCTCACGTGAAGGTTTGGCCTCATGTCTTTGACCCTTAGCTCTGGATGTATCTGAAGCAGCACGAAGCTCTTCCTCTTGTAAAGCCATGAGTTCCTCACCCAACAAATCATTGCCTTGATCATCGCATTCTAACATCTCGCTCTCCGGTTGAGCCGCTGGATCCATTTCATTTAGAGCATCAATCATCTGGTCATTCTCCAAAGCATTGAGGTCAACTTGAAGAGATTGCGGAGAGAACGTAAGAGCTCGCGTAGCTCCCTTTGCGCGAACAGTGACATTGGTATCCAGAGCTTGCGAAGACCGTGTGGGCGAGACAATGGTACTCGCTAGGCGTCTTGTTTTTTGATCATTCGAGTTCCCCATCTCTCTATGTGATCGAGACACACTCGAAGCACCATTAGTAGCATGTTGATCGTATGGAACAACATCGTTAGGATCAGTTGGAGTAGGTGAACGTGTTCTCTGGCTCACTTGTGTCCCTATCTTCTCACGTCAAACATGCTCTGTTTTACGAGCATAAGGACCCCTCCCATGGCGATGTTCATCAGACCTGCTCCTCCTCATCTCATTGCGCCCTCGGATGACCCTATCTTTATGCGAGCTGTATCGGTTTGTATTCCCTGTGCTCCCTAGGCGATTCACCTCCTCATACCTGCTTCTATTACTAGACAAAGATCCAGTATGGTGATGTCCTCTTTCTTCATTGTTCAACACCGGCTGTCGAGAGATAAATGGGGATTGTTTCGAGTGCTCACCGCCTGTGATTGACTCGGTAGTTGTGGAGCCTGTACCCGAGAGAAAACATCTCCTCTCCCAGCTTGAGTATCGCCGTGTGAATCCAAAAGGCAATGGCCTTTTTCATGTGTCATAAGGCCACAAGTTCGACAGTGTTTGAACAACTTTTCATATTGAATTTCGATGGAAACCTAATCTCCCTCCGGAGACTGTACTTGTCATTTAAACTTCAAAGGTTTCCTGGTATCAATGTCAATTAACATTCGACCCTCAGTAAGCTTATTGGTATCTACGTATCCCATTCAGTCTCTTATAAGTCTTAAATTTTTATTTGTCCACGGATGCAGCGGAATTCCAACTATAGTGACCCAAAAGGGGATGATCCAAGGGTAGTAATCGTGGACAATGGGTTCCCAACGCACTAACACAAACATCCAGAAATTGTAGTGAAAAGGGCCTTGGCGCAAGACATAGTTAAGGTCATCTTCAGAGATTAAGTTCAAAAGGAACTTCCCATTCCCCAAATTGTTGGGTGTAATCCGATCTTGCATTCCCCATTGAGTTGGCATCGTCTGGATCAGCTTGACTACGTTTTGTTTTTTAGGGTTTAGCACCTTTTCGATCAAAGACATTTGATGTTCCTTTATAACAAAAGAGTCTTCTTGATCCGTTAGTTTGATCGGAGCATCATCATCCTCGTAGAGGATACCTTTACCTTTGATATCTGCCATATGAGCAGAACTCGTTCAAGACATTGATCCCATACGAAGTATCACTGAAAATCAGATCCCTGTTATGTCAATGGAGACGAAACAAAGAAACCTTGATCATTAAGGTACTGACTGGTGGATCGTTTATGGACGGAAACCAGATGACAAGGATCACTCTGGTAATGGGATATCTGTCTGGTCACTGACGAGTTAACCAAACAGAGACAAGGTCGTCGACTTCTACACCCTTTAGATCGTCATTACTATCTTACGGAAGGCAAGATGATTTGAGGTCGAAGGCTGAACAGATGACTAAGGGCTGTCGAGGAGTGCGAAGGTGATCAGAACGTTGATGAACGTAGATCAGATGAAGAGCAAAATCTCTGGTGAGACTTTGATCTCAGAAGCCGCCTGTCGCCATCGCCTCTCTCTAGGGTTTTTTCGGTTTCAGTTTTTTTTCCAGGCCTAAATGATCATGTGACATATATAAGCGTATAAGCATCTAGGCATAGGAAATTCCCAATCAAACTCAGCGAATGATCATGATCATGTGTTATGTAGTTCATGTAGCTAATCCAACCATCTTTTAAGGATGTGGAAATTTAACATAAGTATACCATCATCTTTTTACCTCAAGTTTTACTCTGAAAATAAGAAAATATTGGCAAAGTGGATCTCAGAAAAATTTGCAATTTGGACTTTGGATTAGCCAAAATCTTTATTTGTAAAGTGGATCGCAGTACTATTTGACCCTATGTAAGTCTTATAGAGCATAAATAATACACCCTGCCCAAATAACATATTCACCAAATTGGCATTCTCTTCTTTGAATTGTTTTCACACTTGATAAACTATCATTCTTATCAACACAAAGTCTTCTTCCCCATTATTGTTTCTCTCTCTATTAGAGTGTTGGTTTAACTTTGGTTTAGTATTGTACAGGGTTTATTGATAATTCTGGTTCAGTAGCTATTATATAAAGCTCTGTAACTGACTCTGTAACGACTTAACAAAAATAACAATCACTTTTCATTACTCCATGGTTTCTCTTTCAATATGGTATCAGAGCGTTGAATCTACGTTCAACATCACGATCCGAGCTTTCGATCAACAATTTTTCCGGCGATTTCTGATCGGATCTTCATTATGATCACCTCGACTCACTCTGTTTCTACGATCAATCCGTCGGAGATTCAAGATTGACGATGGTGACTCTACGAAGATCAACGAGATGAGCTACTCGTGCTTCTACAACGCGGCAGTCTATTCCGACGTCCACCGCAACTTCGCCGATTTAGACCAATGGATTTCCGATTCCACCTATTCCGGTGACAACTTCGACGAATCTAGCAGCATCTATCTTTCAAATACCAAATGTTTCTCATGATTTCGGTGGGATTCAATACTCGCCATACTTCCTTATGAATGGAGACAATCCAGGCGCTTCCATCATCTCTGAGGTACTTGATGGCTCTAACTATAACACTTGGAGTATTGCGATGACTATTGCTCTTGATGCAAAGAACAAAATTGCGTTTGTTGATGGTTCTTTGGCTCGACCTATTGAATCTGATCCGCATTTTAGAATATGGTCTAGGTGCAACAGTATGGTCAAATCTTGGATCTTGAACTCGGTGACAAAACCGATCTATGGAAGTATTGTCAGGTTCAATGATGCTTCTGAGATATGGAAGGATCTCCTCACTCGTTTTCATATCACCAACTTACCAAGATCGTATCAGTTAACACAGCAAATATGGTCTCTCCAACAAGGATCATTGGATCTCTCCACATACTACACAAACTAAAGACGATGTGGGATGATCTTGATGGAGTGGATTACGTCAAAACATGTCAAAATTGTAACTGCTGCAAATCGATGGCTACTAAATCAGAGCATACAAATGTGATCAAGTTCTTAGCATGACTCAGTGATTCATATTCAACTGCTCGTAGTCAGATTATAATGAAGAAGACTGTACCTGACCTGTCTGAGGTTTATAATCATCTGGACCAAGACTTCAGTCAGAGGAGTTTCAATCCGATAACAAATGCTAGTTCTTTTCACGTGGATGGTTCTGAGAGTGTTCAGGCTTCTATCAATGCAACATATACTCGACCTTCACGGCCGGTTTGTTCTCACTTTGGTTACAATGGTCATACCGTTGACAAATGTTACAAAATTCATGGCTATCCACCAGGATTCAAACATAAGAAACCACAGACAGATAAAGGTGGCTATGCAGATATATCTATCTCTACTTCTAAACCGGTGGTTGCACAAGTAGTTGTTAATGATCAGATGGAAAATGTTGAAGCTCCTACAATGATGTCAAAGGATCAGATTGAGGGATTGATTGCTTACTTCAACTCACACTTGAAGACTGATCAGACGATGACAGCATCTACTTCTGGTGGTTCTATCACTCCACTCCATGGTATGAATTTCTCGTCCTCTACTATTGGTTTTGTTGGAATTTTACGAACCACAGGTACTGCTTTGTCATCACAATCATGGGTTATTGATAGTGGGGCAACTCATCATATCTCTCATGATAAGAGTTTGTTTGTCAGTCTCACTGCTTCCATGAATAGATCAGTATCTCTCCATACAGGAACATTTATTCAGATTGCAGGCATTAGCCAGATTCGTCTCAATGAGTATCTTGTCCTCAACAATGTGTTATATATTCCTGACTTCAGACTGAATTTACTCAGTATCAGTCAGCTCACACATAATTTGGGATGTCGTGTCTCTTTTGACCAAGGTTCTTGTGTGATACAGGACACTACCAAGGGATTGATGATTGGTCAGGGTGAAAGGATTTTGAACTTATATGTTCTGGAAGGAGAGAGTCGCAATGCTTCTGCACATGCTTCGCCTAAGTCTTCAATAAATGTTGTTGTAGATACATCGTTATGGCATAATAGACTAGGGCATCCCTCTATTGCTAAAGTCGATTCCATAACTGATGTACTTGTCATTTCACAAAGGAATAAAGGAAAATTTCATTTTTCTATATGTCCTCTTGCAAAACATAAGTATCTCCCGTATATTGCTCACAACAACATGTGTTCTAGTGCTTTTGACTTGCTTCATATTGATATTTGGGGGCCTTTCTCTGTATCTACAGCTGAAGGATACAAGTACTTCTTGGCCATAGTCGATGATCACACTCGTGTGACGTAGGTATACCTTCTGAGAAATAAAGCAGAGGTCTTAAAGGTTTTTCCGGAATTCTTGACGATGATAGAAAGACAATACAAAGGACAAGTCAAAGATGTGCGTTCAGATAATGCTCCTGGGCTGAGTTTTACTGAATTATACAAGAGTAAGGTTATGCAGGCATATCATTCCTGCCCTGAGACCCCTGAGCAAAACTCCGTAGTGGAAAGGAAGCATCAACACAATTCATGATGAACTCCTTGATGATCTGTTGATTTACAGGAGACTTGTTGGCAAGATGATGTATCTCACAATCACTCGTCCTGATGTTACCTTTGCTGTCAATAAGCTATGTCAGTTTGCTTCGGCTCCACCGAAGTCACACTATCAAGCTGCTTTACGAGTGTTGCACTACCTCAAAGGAACAGTTGGTATGAGGATCTTCTATTCATCAGATTGTGATTTGGTGCTCAAGGCTTTCACTGATGTAGACTGGGGATCTTTTTTGGACTCACGCCATTCAACTTCTGGTGATTGTATGTTTCTTGGACATTCATTAATCTCTTGGAAATCCAAGAAACAGGACACCGTTTCACATTCATCGGCGGAGTCAGAGTATCGTGCAATGGGGTTTGCTGTTCGCGAGATTCAATGGTTGGTTAATCTTTTGACAGATTTTGAAGTGTTTCAGAGACAACCAATGGGCGTTCTTTTGTGATTCTACTGTAGCAATTCACATTGCAAACAATGCAGTGTTTCATGAAAGAAGTAAACACCTTGAGTTTGATTGTCACAAAGTCAGGGAGTTGATTATCAAAGGCTTGATCAAGACTCTTCATGTACGTACAAACAATCAACTTGCAGATGTCTTTACTAAACGGCTACAACCTGTTCATTTTCACTCAATCATTGGCAAGATGGCTCTGAATTCAGTATACTCAGCCATCTTGAGGGGACTATTAGAGTGTTGGTTTAACTTTGGTTTAGTATTGTACACGGTTTATTGATAATTCCGATTCAATAGCTATTATATAAAGCTCTGTAACGACTTAACTGAAATAACAATCACTTTTCCCTCCATGGTTTCTCTTTCAATACTCTCTTCTCCAATTTTCTCCATTATTAAGTTCATCATGTTTAACAAAGCTATTTGCTTATATTACTTCTGCACAAATCTAAAGTTTCGCGCTTTGGATTACAAAGCTTTATCTAATTTTTTTAATCTTTGAACTTGTGAATATGGAAGATCCTACAGATAATGAAGCTTACGAGGAGAAAATGGCAATTCAGTTGAACAAAAAAAAAAAAAAAAAGTGTGCTTTTTCTCAATTAAAGGAGTTTTTTTTTATTAGAGGAAGGGGCCAAGAAAACTTCCTAGACTACAGACTACGAGGAAGAGGTCGAGAAAGCCCCAGATTCTGCAACTAAAGTTAACAGCGAACCTGTGAAGAAGTGAGTTTTTTTCGATCTGTTTCAGAGAATACTAGTTCACTAGATTTGAAGTTGTTCTGAGATTGCAAAGGCTTCCATGCTTCTATGCCTAAGAAAGTAGCAATTTTTAATGGTCTTCTATCAATTAATTCCCAGAAATTAATAGTTTTTTTCCTATTTGTCGCAGAGATTACGATGGATTCGACTGACCGGAGTTTGCCGGAGCTGATGTAGGACTGAGCTTAACTAAACTGGAGCTTCAAGGAGCTAATTCCGGACCAGAGCTTAACAGATTTGATTCTGGATCGGAGCTTGACGAAGCTCTTATCAAGTAACGACAGTGACAATGACAATGACCGGAGCTTGCGTAAAATAATTCACAACCTCCGTTGAGCCTTGTCAGCGAAACTTCACTCGTCGTCTT